AGACTGCAAAAAAAACACAAACAAAAAACTACAAAACCAAGAAACTACAAAAAAACGGCAGAAACAAAAAACTACAAAACCAAGAAACTACAAAAAAACGCCAGAAACAAAAAACTACAAAACCAAGAAATTACAAAGAAACTGCCACAAACTAAAAACTACAAAACTGCTAAACCAAGAAACTACAAAAAAAACAGAGACAAAAAACTACAAAACCAAGAAACTACAAAAAAACGCCAGAAACAAAAAACTACAAAACCAAGAAATTACAAAGAAACTGCCACAAACTAAAAACTACAAAACTGCTAAACAAAGAAACTACAAAAAAAACAGAGACAAAAAACTACAAAACCAAGAAACTACAAAAAAACGCCAGAAACAAAAAACTACAAAACCAAGAAACTACAAAAAAACGCCAGAAACAAAAAACTACAAAACCAAGAAACTACAAAAAAACGCCAGAAACAAAAAACTACAAAACCAAGAAATTACAAAAAAAACGCCACAAACTAAAAACTACGAAACTGCTAAACCAAGAAACTACTATGCCACCAAAGGGAAGAGCAGCAGAGGTACTACATGAGCAGAAGTACTGTATGTATTTGTACATAGATCTAGTCTCCAGTGTGTCTCAGGTGTAGGATTCTGCAGCGTCTCCTCGCAGCCTTCTTGTTATTCTGCTGACGGTTTCTCGCCTTCAGCCAGTTTTTCAGAGCGAAGCCGACAGATCAAATCCTGAAGCTGCTTTAAGCCGCGGAGAGGAAGAGAGCAGGGAATTCTGGGAAAGCACTCGGATATTACTGCTCGTCACCTCCAGCTGCACCTCCACTGTGACAGCCGTAGAGTCAGAGTCAGAGTCAGTCAGAGTCAGTCACAGACGAGGAGTCAGAGTCAGAGGAGTCAGAGTCAGTCACAGATGAGGAGTCAGAGTCAGAGGAGTCAGAGTCAGATTCAGTCACAGACGAGGAGTCAGAGTCAGAGGAGTCAGAGTCAGAGGAGTCAGAGTCAGAGTCAGTCACAGACGAGGAGTCAGAGTCAGTCACAGACGAGGAGTCAGAGTCAGAGTCAGAGGAGTCAGAGTCAGAGTCAGAGGAGTCAGAGTCAGTCACAGACGAGGAGTCAGAGTCAGAGGAGTCAGAGTCAGTCACAGACGAGGAGTCAGAGTCAGAGGAGTCAGAGTCAGATTCAGTCACAGACGAGGAGTCAGAGTCAGAGGAGTCAGAGTCAGAGTCAGTCACAGACGAGGAGTCAGAGTCAGTCACAGACGAGGAGTCAGAGTCAGAGTCAGAGGAGTCAGAGTCAGAGTCAGAGGAGTCAGAGTCAGTCACAGACGAGGAGTCAGAGTCAGAGGAGTCAGAGTCAGAGGAGTCAGAGTCAGTCACAGACGAGGAGTCAGAGTCAGTCACAGACGAGGAGTCAGAGTCAGTCACAGACGAGGAGTCAGAGTCAGAGGAGTCAGAGTCAGTCAGAGTCAGAGGAGTCAGAGTCAGAGGAGTCAGAGTCAGAGGAAACAGAGTCAGTCACAGACGAGGAGTCAGAGTCAGAGGAGTCAGAGTCAGAGTCAGAGGAGTCAGAGTCAGTCACAGACGAGGAGTCAGAGTCAGAGGAGTCAGAGTCAGTCACAGACGAGGAGTCAGAGTCAGAGGAGTCAGAGTCAGTCACAGACGAGGAGTCAGAGTCAGAGGAGTCAGAGTCAGTCACAGACGAGGAGTCAGAGTCAGAGGAGTCAGAGTCAGAGTCAGTCACAGACGAGGAGTCAGAGTCAGAGTCAGTCACAGACGAGGAGTCAGAGTCAGAGTCAGTCACAGACAAGGAGTCAGAGTCAGAGGAGTCAGAGTCAGAGGAGTCAGAGGAGTCAGAGTGAGTCAGAGTCAGTCACAGACGAGGAGTCAGAGTCAGAGGAGTCAGAGTCAGAGGAGTCAGAGTCAGAGTCAGAGGAGTCAGAGTCAGAGTCAGAGGAGTCAGAGTCAGAGGAGTCAGAGTCAGAGTCAGTCACAGACGAGGAGTCAGAGGAGTCAGAGTCAGAGTCAGTCACAGACGAGGAGTCAGAGTCAGAGGAGTCAGAGTCAGTCACAGACGAGGAGTCAGAGTCAGAGGAGTCAGAGTCAGAGGAGTCAGAGTCAGAGTCAGAGTCAGAGTCAGAGTCAGAGGAGTCAGAGTCAGAGTCAGTCACAGACGAGGAGTCAGAGTCAGAGGAGTCAGAGTCAGAGGAGTCAGAGTCAGTCACAGACGAGGAGTCAGAGTCAGTCACAGACAAGGAGTCACAGACAAGGAGTCAGAGTCAGAGGAGTCAGAGGAGTCAGAGGAAACAGATGAAATTCACTTAAATATTGAATTATTTGCTAAATGTGGTTTCAACAAACTAAACGTTACGAGCAACAAAAAGTTTCAACACATTTTGGGAATAAAAGTATTCACCTACATGTAGTCACACGGCAGAGTCACTGAAAAGACTATATTTACTTATGTAAAGAAAGCTTTTTAATAAAATGAGGACTAAAATAAAACAGTTTCATTAACAGGTCGGCAGCCATGATGTTTTTTTCTTTCTGCTTCCAGCGAGTGAGTTTAAACTCCTGAAGGAAATGACATCAGCCTTCTCTTCTCCGCTTCAATTATCCACCCCTCGCCTGTTTGGTGTTTAAAAGCTCGGCTCATTTCACATTCATGAACGCAACACGCTTGCTGGCACAATGAGCGCGCTCTGGAAACACACACGGTCTTAAAATATGGATGTGTAAATCAGATCAACTGGCGAACAGTGCGCACAATATGGCCGCTTCCCTGGCAGGAGGAGCGGGGAAGAAGACTTGGGAGAATTACAAGAAACTGTACGACATTATGATGCAGCCACCTGTCGGGGTTCAGCCTCGCGATGCCTTCAGGGACACAGAGGTTTTGTTGTTTCCTATCAATCAAACTGAAGTCAGATGTTCACGTTTCTACATTCGGTCTGCGGATGCTGCAGAACCAGAACCAGGCCGCGGTTTCTGCAGCTTTCAGAGCACCTCCTGTAAATCCTGTGTATTTTACTTTACTGATGATCATCTTAAAAAGTCCGTTGTACTGTTCACTTCCGCAGAGCTGGTCTCAAGACATATTTAGATCTGTGGGATTTTAGGATTTTTACTGCCTCCATTACAAAAATCTGCACAAAATCCAGCACAGTAACGTCAGTAAAGATTCTAATGAATAGAAAATCAAATCATTTCACAAGAAACTTTCATGATTTTATATTATTATATCAAGATGGCATAACAAAAACGACAGCACCCTCAGTTAGATTTTTGTTGCTTTTCTAACTACACTTGAAACATGTTTTTATATTCCTTTCTATAAAAATCAACTTGCAGACACGTTAAAGAGATGCACTCCAACAACCTCACGTCTGATTTGAGTTATGTCACTGTAGCATGGCGATGCATTATAACTGCACTTATAATTAACTGAAATCCTCACTGCATCACCACATGACGATGGGACTCCAGGATTCATTTGTCCACATGAAAATGAAATTAATCACCACATTAAAGAATTCCAGGTTTTCCTCATTCAGCAGGAACCCAGACTGGACCCTAAACAAACACTGAAACTTATCTGGTGCTTTTATTTTCCTACCATCAGATTACAGAAGACACTTTTCTAAAATCTCATCATCAGTCTGGATTTCACTCCTGTGTGATCTGGATTAAAACATGTCGGGGTCGCTCCTTTAAACTCCTGCATGTTCCTGAGGAGAACACAGATAACAACAGGCTCTATTCACAACACACCTCCGTATAAAAGCAAAGCTCGCAGCTCTTGTCAGTCGTATCTGTAAATGGAATCACAGATTAGCATTGCAAAAGGAGGCGGCGGCGGCGGCGGCCGGAGCGTCCATTGTGAGCGTCCACCTCGTCCCTCCTCTGCACCGCGCTGCCGTCGGAGGAGGCGGCGCCTCACACAAAGACTGCAGCGAAAGGAAGGAAGCTGTGATAAACCGGTGTTAAACAGAAAGCCCGAACACGCTTGGCCCGACGCGATGACATTTACTTATCGCGCTAAACAGCCTTCCATCTGACCTTTCTGCTACTTTGAATGACATCTGGATATTCTGACGGAATAATCGGGGACAGTAAAAGCACTGATTGGAGGGAGATAAGGAGTCTTCGGACGGCACGTGTGGACGTTTAACTCTGGACAGCAGACAATGAGTCTGAAGGACGAGCTGGAGAGAGGAGGAGGACTGACACACCGGGGAAAGTGTTTACTTCACTTTCAGCGTGTTGAAAACAGGTTACAGTGAATAAGACGCCTGATCCTCGTCAGTAAAACCCGGCCTCGAGTGTAAAAACCTTAAACCTTCACTTTAAGCTCTTCTTCAAGCCCAGAGAGATTTGGTCCAACATTACAAACTGTTATAAACATGCTGTTCGTTCAAACTCGCACAACTTAAAATTCTAGCGGAGATCACAAAGTCTCTGCAGACAGCAGAGCCGTCAGGCTGCAGTTTGAGTGAATGACGGTGTCAAATGATGCTCAGGACTTGAAGAACATCTGGTGCAGAAACAAAAGTGAGCGTGAGATGTTGTTGGTTAAGGTGGCGACCGATAAACCCTGAAATATTCACTTAATAATAAATCAGAGTTTTCCCTTTACGAAGGAGTTTATTTAGTTTGCTAGTGGTCTGCAGATCTGCAAACCTTCCCAGCGTCAGGCTTTTAAAACCACCAAATCAATAAGATATTGATGTTTATGTTTTGTGATCAGTGAGAGTTTGTCTTAGAGACCTGAAACCCTGAACGGCAGGTTCAGGCCAGAACAGAGAGTCTGACTGCAGCACGAGGACGTGCAGAAGAAAGTTTGTGAGAATAACATTTAAACATTCTCAAAGTTTTCCAAGTACCACCATCCATAAAATTAGTGTTTAAATTAGTGTTAGATTCACAAGCTGACATCTAATCCAATAAACCCCCCGTCCACAATCAGACATCGCTGCTGTCGGGTTACTGGTTACATACCGGTGTAGACGAAGCGTCCTGGCGCTCCTTTGCAGAACTGTTTGGATTTGTAGGACAGCGTGACCTCCACGACCCCGGGGATGTGGCGAGGGGGAGTCTGGACCCGGATGGCGTGAGGGGTGATCAGCTGGAGGAAACGAACACACACACACAATCTGGGTCACAAGTGCTGCACAGATCGTGAGGAGAAGCCGGCAGGTTTGAGATGCTTCTTCTGTATTTTCAAAAACAAAATGAAAATGTGAAAAAAAAACAACAAAGACGACCGCGACCCTCAGGCGGCGCGTAGAAAAAGACAACATGACAAACGAACAAATTACACTTGGGTTTACAGAGGGCAGGCGTTGATGTCACTTCCCTCCCGGAACCCGCTGGACTGAGTGGCAAAACATCTGATGCCACGGCTGCGTTTAGCAAACCGGGAGCAAAACAAGCGATTATTTGCTCAATAATGCAGAAAACGGCTCCTGAGTGCAGGAAGTGTTTAAAAGAGAAACCCCAGCGTATCTTTCAGCATGAATATTTCTTTAGTGTTAAAACATTTGCACGTCTTTTGCTCCTGAAGTGTATCGTCACACCTCTGAGCTGAGCCCCGACGTCCAACCACCACTTCTCAACATATTTAACGTTAGTCAGAAAGTTATTCTTGACATATCCCACTTTTTAAGCATCAGTATGACAGAATATTTTGTGTATTGATGAAGATGAAGAATCTTGCATATTCAGTTCAATGTGACTCAGGCAGTGACAGGCCACTAAATGAAGAGCCGGCTCCCTCCACAGATCCGTAATCCCCATCACGCCCTCCAGGACTGAAACTTTCAACTATTGGGCTTCAAATGACACCTCAACTCTTTTTAATTTTGACACATTAACTCAAACCTCGTCTTAACTTCAGCCGACGCTCGACCTGTTTTAGGTAAAGAGACCGTCAGTCTTCATAGCGGCGTCGTTATCAACCCTCTTTATCTAGAGTTTAATGGAAACCTGCAGCATCACAGACTTTTCTTTCTGTAAAGAACTTTCAGGGGGAAAACAGTCCGACTGTCTTCCTCCAATCTGGGTCAGCGTGCAGTCTGTGTTTAGAGGGATGCTGGGCTTCGCAGTCCGTCTGGCGACGCTGATCAAAGTGAGCAGCTCCGTCAGCGGCGTGTGATGTGAAGCGAACAGCGTGTGGAGGTATATCTGCGCTGCCTCGCACCTCCTTCCCTCCTTCCCCGCCAGGTGTTCTGCTCTTCTGGACCCGCTTCAATATTTCATGGCGTGCCGTATGCGCAGCTCCTCCTGCGGCTCCACACGCACTAAATCTACATATTTTTGGGGGCATGCAGACCTGGCGGAGCGGCACGGCTACAGATCCAGATGCAGGTGTTTCTACAAATGTGTGTGTGGATGAAGAAGATGGAGAACCTGATGTACAGTAAAACGTGCAGCTGCTCGCCGAGCACAGACTCTGAGCCAAATATTGTTTTTCTGTGGATTTGCTGGATCTGTTTGAGTTCAGCTGATAAATTACAGTATCTCACCAAAGTGCGTCCACCCCTCACATTTCTGTAAATATCTGATTCTATCTGTTCATGTGACGACGCTGAAGAAATGACTCTGCTACAATGTAAATTTGCTGTCCCCTCAAAATAACACAGCCACACCGAATTTATCCCACCTGCTCCCCATTCACAGCTGAGACCCCGTAACACTAATGAGTCATATGACACCGGGGAGGGGAAATGGCTGATTGGGCCCAATTTGGACATTTTCACTAAAGCAGAGTTCACCCTACAAGATTTTTAGCCTGATTTGCTGCTCAGCGACAGTCGTTACGTGTGAACTACTCAACGACGTATCAAAACGTTTCCCCGACACATTTCTGACACATCACAGACGTCTGCCAGATATCCGGCACGCCAAATATCTGGAAGAGTCGTAGGTTCGCATCATTTCCTGTTTCACATTTCATGTGTGTTTTCTTGACCAAACTGGTGACACAGCGGCTGTCAGCTCCTGTAGCGTGTGACCTCCTGTCACCGATCAGTCACGTCGTGTGAACGCCACGACCACTTCAAGACTGCCGTCACAAGACGGCAAGTTGTGTGAACGGCACGGCCATCGGGCGACGCTGAAAGTCGTGTAGTCTGCAGGAGGCGTTAGGGGTGTCCTCACTCTTGTTGCCAGCGGTTTAGACATTAACGGCTGTGTGATGTGTTATTTTGAGGGGACAGCAGATTTACAAGCTGCACGCTCACTACTTTACACTGGAGCAAAGTGTCACTTCTTCAGTGTCGTCACATGAACAGACAGAATCACATATTTACGAAAACGTGAGAAACTGTAAATGCAAATAAAGCCAATCACGTCAGCTGACCGAAAGAGCAAGGTTTTCAGGTTTTCTAAAATAACCGACGTCCTCTCACCTCGCTCCAGACCAGCATGGTGCCGAAGACGACCTGCAGGCCGTCGAAGAAGTTGTCCCCGATGAGGATGACGGTGGCGCCGCCGGTCGTCCAGCCCTCGCTCGGGCTGATGGCTTTGATGCAGGGCGTAGCTGCTTCGGAAACACAGGCGACACAACAGCAACATGAGAAACAAGACGTACAGTTATTCAGAACAAAACCATCAAATGAGATGTTTCCATCAGGACAGGACTGTGTGACGGCTAAAGCAGATGCTAACCCGGCTAATTTAGATCAGCTAATGAGTTTCAGCTGTTGTTAGCAAACAGTTTAGCAACTCATCTTCTGAGATTAGTTCAATTTAAGGTCAGCAGCTGCGACAGTTTGCTTCACAGTTAAGGACAGAAGCTAAATATACAGTTTCAGGTTTATCCAACAGGCCGGTTTAACAGTTAAAACTGTTGGTTTTATGCTGGAGGTCCAGTTAAAGAACCAAAACTATCTGGTTTAAGATCCATGAGTGTTTAGCTTAAACCATTTTGCAGCGAGCGTTTCGGTTCCCTCCAGCGTCTGAATCTTCACTCCTCCTAGGAACGCAGGTGTCATGAAGCAACAATTAAGTTTTTAAAGAAAGAAAGTTTGATTCCAGCTTCTCAAATGTGAATATTTTCTGGTTTCTTTGCTTCTATACGACAGTAAACTGAATATCTTTGGGTTGTGGACAAAACAAGACATTTGAGGACCAGGATCAGTTCATCGAGAAAATAATCAGCAAATGAAAGTAAACGTAAGTTTCAGCCCTGCAAAGCTTGTAACTGGGACTTTGACTCTGAAGATGGACAGGAAGCGTTCACTAAAATAATATCAGCAGAAGTTCTATTTAGAAAAGCAGGATCATTTGCATGATGTTTATCTGTTGTTTAGTGACTAATGGTTCAGTCAGTCCGTCAGAAACAAGCAGCAACTTTAAAGTGAAGCCAAAAACTGCAGTTCATGAGTGAGTCAGTCCCCACAGAACTCCGACTTTACAAAAGCCGCGTTTCATCTCTGTAGCTAATTTCTAGCTCGCTCGTTCATGAAAACGGTGTTTTATTTATTATATAAATTATATTAAATCAGTCACACGCTCAGTCCTGTCCAGCTCATATCTGTGGACATGTAGCGGCGGCGTTTCTACCTGCAAAATACTGCGTAATGCGTTTGAATCTGCTGGTGCTGCTAACAGCGTCTGGAGGCGTCCATCTTGGTTTTCCAATTTAAATCTGTCGTTGGACTGAAACGAGCGACTTCATTCCCAGCTCCGCCCAACGAGGTAAATTAAACGCGGCATAAAGTTACGCATAATTAAGGGTGGGATGCTTTGAGTGACAGGTGTGAGCCCTCTCAGGTGGTCCACCGCAGCAACGAGTCGCTGTACTTAATGTGTACTTAAGTACTTTACTTGAGTATTTTCTCCTCCTGCTCCGTCTCTCAGAGGGAGACTTTTATCTGACAGCTTCAGTTACTTTACAAAGTCAGAGTTTATAAAAGATGATGTTTTTTTATACAGCTGACAGGATCATTCGACTGCCAACTGACTGATGGCTGAAATCATTTTTCATGTAGAAACATTTCATGATTTCAGCTTCACTAACGTGAACATCTGCTTTTCCTTTTGATTCATTTTTTAAATAATTTGAATGTTTGTGAATAATTTTGTCACTTTGGGCTGCAGCCACAGGACACATTTTTCTGTATTTACTTCTACTTTTAATACTTAGAGTACATTTTCCTGAAGTAACATTTTCAATGCGGTGCCTTTCTTGTGTGGTGTTTTACTAAAGTAAAGGATCTGAATACTTGAGCACCTGCAGGTGACGTCACAGAGTCTGTGGTGACTCTCTGATCCACCAGCAGTCTGTTAGTCCGCCACTAACACATGCAAATTGATCGTTTCTTCCGATGCCACAGAGATCAATACGGGGCTCCACATAAACAGCGTCTCCGTGATGACTAGACTGCCGAGTCAGCCGGGCGGACGGACTCGCGAGGCTCCGCAGGTTTACAACCTTTTCCCGGACCGAGAGCCTTTTTACTGGGAGGAGGATTTTATATTCCAGTCAGAGCTCGGAGCTTCCTTTTGTTTACTGATCTGATCCATAAAAACATTCCCGTTACAATTTTCCCCACTGTTAAAGTTACAGGCAGGACGAGCTCGGGGAAAAGGGAAAGCTTGTTGTTAGGGTTTCAAAGTGAGAGGCGGTGCCAAATGCTTTCAGGGGAGGCTCAACGAATGGAGGTGAAAACGACGCTTGGCGAGGTTCACTGTCTTTCACACTTTCCCAGAGAGTTTCTCCTGGTTTAGCTTTCTGCGAGTGGCTGTTCAGACATGCAGTTATTCAGCTATCAGTGTTTTAGATACTGGGTCTGTAAATGATATATTGATTTTCAATTTAAAAAATGTTTACAATACTTGTCTTTACAGGCCGTTTTACAGGTTTTATGCTTGTCCACAGTATTTTCTCATTTATGGAGTAATAAAAAGAGATTTCCAAAATCCCCTCAGTGAGAACATTTGAGTTTAATCTGTCAACAAAATCAAACAATGATTCTGAACCCGACTTAATCCAGAGGTCAGATTTCAGTTCTAGAAATAGATTCATTTGCATATTTAAACATAAAACTTCAGAAAACCTGTAACACAAAGAAACCTGTTCACCTGCAGCGTCAGGTTATCTTGGATCAATCGAGTGTCTACGGGATCAAATAAGATGATCACACAGGTATCCAGGAATTTAGTGAAACTAAGCAAATAAACAAAGTAAATAAAAGAAATTTCAATTTAATCATTAATTAGGAGCTCATTTCTAGTTTCTGCAGAGCGTCAGAAATGTGCGGCGCGTTCAGATGGGAGTTTCTGGTATTCAGCGGCTTAATACTTTTCACTGGTTTTCATCGGCTGGTTTGTTGATGGAGAGCAGCGGGAGGGTTTTCAGGTAACTTTTAAAAGTCACTCTGAGTTTCCAGAGGAAAGAAAAGAAAAGCCTGAACCCTTCAGCAGAGGGCCGAGGCTTCTCCCGCTCCGACGAGCCGATTGTCATCTGCTTATTAATTTCCCTCTTTTGTCACAGCAGCAAACAAACAGTCCGACGGCTCTGAGGCGGGTGGCGGCGGCGGCGGGGGGACTTTCCAATCAAATGAATGGAGCACAAAGGCGAGGAGCAGGCGGTGGAAAGTTTTATCGAGGACACGGGGGGGGGGGGGTTCAGGGTTGGTGACAAAGGCGGGAGCAGATGTTGGAGCTTTTTATCGGCTCTGAAAACATCCCAGTCTGGATGAGATGAAAGGCCCCCAGCTTCCCTCCGCGGGCCGAGTTACAGGGCCGTCTGGTAAACAACGGGCCCCTTTTGGCCCCTGCAGGACGCCATACAGAACGCCCCGCGCCCCTCAGAGTGGAAACGCTTCTGTACGTGAATGTTTAAGTGTTGATTTGATACGTTCCCGCAGCGTCTCAAGGTGTTATCACAGGTGAGAAACAAGAACAGCTCAGCTTGGTGGATGACATATCTGTGTCAAGTAGCGTTTGTTTTATCCCTCTGGATGTGCCAGACAGGTGGGGTTTGCCACACAGGACAGCGCTGCAAGAGCAGGAAAAAAAGTTTGGGCACTCACAGGTCAGCTTAGTCTGCTCTTTCTTTCATCAACAACTTTATCCTGTCTGAAGTGCCCCCGGTGTGATAAACTCCACCCTCCTGGTGCTGCAAGTAGGTTAAACCAAACGAGACAATTACATCATCTGCTCCTGGAAAAGCCTCAAAACTTTAAAACAAGTGGAGGGAAACTGCAGAGGGAGTAGTTTGGGAGGTGACAGAGGGAGGACATGGTGGCTTTTTTGAAGTCTGACTGGTGGCAAATTGTTCCAGGGTTTGTTTCACTCTGCTGTATGTCCCAGGAGGGTGGGGCTTACCCTCATAAGACTAAAATGATGAGTGTCAAGAAAACAGAAGCACAATAAAAGTCAGTCAACTTTTCTGTGACTGAAAGTTTTACCTGCTATTTCTAATGACCTGATGTTGTTAAGACCCGTCCGTCTGGTGTACCCAGCAGGTTAAAACAGGTGGTTTGTGAGGGAGTTCTGACGTCTGACAAATTGTTTTACTCAGTTCGATGTCCCAGAGGGGTGGGAGGAGTAAACAACAAGTCTCGGGAAGTACAGACAAAAATGTATGAAAGTCGCTTAGATTGCGTTGGACCCCACCCGTCTGGTGTTCCAAGTAGGTGAAAACAAGCAAAAGAGTTTCACCATCTCCTCCACCAAAGCCTAAAACTTTACAACAAGTCGAGGGAAACCGCAGAGGAAGTCTTCTGGGATGTGACAGAGGGAGGACACGGCGTTTTTTAGATGTCTGGCTGGTGGCAAAAGGGTTCAGGGTTTGTTTTGTTCTACTGTATGTCCCAGATGGGTGGGGGTAACCTCACGATTACCTGACTGTGAAGTTCAGACAAAAGTACATGAAAGTGAAAGTCAATACTTTTCTGTGACTTTCAGTTACCTGAGAGTTTAAAAGGTCCTGATAAGGGAAGCCCCGCCCATCTGGTGTGCCCAGTAGATAAAAACAAGCAATACAGTTACAACATCTCTCCTGGAAACGGCTCAAACTTTTAATGGAGTCTACGGAAACTGCAGAGCGAGGTGATTTGATGGATGACAGATGGACGACGCACTGGCTTGTTGATGTCAGACTGGTACTTTAAGGGTTTGTTTTAACTTTGTGGACGTGCCAGACAGGTGGAGTTTACCAAAACGGATGATCCAGTGAGTGCTGAGAATTTTAAAACAGACACAGAACGTATCAGAGAGTCAGTTTAGTTTCACTTCCCAGTGACTGACGCGAGGCTTTATTTCATAAACTCCACCCGTCTGGTGTTCCAAGTAGGTCGAAACAAACATGAGACTTCTGCAGAAGTGTCAAACTTTGAAGCGAGTTGGGGGGAAACTGCAGAGGGACGTTAGAGAGGGAACATATATTGATCTGTTAATGTCTGATTGGTATCAAATAGATTTCGAGTTTGTTTTACTCTCCTGTAGGTGCCACACGGGTGGGGCTTTCCACACGGGTCAAAAGGGAGGTTTAGATGAAGTGTTTTAAAGTCGATTTAATCCCCTTTTCTTGCGACCCACATCTTTTCTGATGCTGGTACTGGTACGGTTAAGCCCCACCCATCTGGCACTCCAAGTAGGTCGAATCAAACGAGAGACTTATGTCATGGCTCCTGGAAGCGCCACAGTGAGGCGGGAGGGGTTTTATTGGAGCGGGGACGGGGCAAAGCGGTATTAAAGTTTCCAGCTTCGGAGGAAATGTTACCTCTGAGTTCCAGCTCTCAGAGTCGAGTTTCGCCGTGTGAAGTTTACACGCCGATGATGCGTTTTATTGGTGGACGCTGGAAGAACGGAGCGTTTGTTCGCTGTCCTCTCCCGGCGGTGCGGGACGTCCAACAGAAACAGGGGGCAGGACGGAGACCTGCCGTCCCCGCTTCCCTCTCCTCAGACCCCCTCGCTGTTTTCCTTTGCTGTAGTTGGTTTTTGGCTTTTGTGACATTAAATATTTGCCAGTTTTCTGCCCGTCTTAGTGATTCTGATAAATCAAACACACCCGCACTCCTTCTTAAAGGGCCACGCCTCAGATTTCACATATGAAACTTATATAATGTCGGTATATAAGATCTCCTGAGGCTACAAATGTCTAACTGGAGGTGTGGAGTTTAAAGCAGGTAGGCTCTAATAAAGAGGCTATCCAGGTGCATTGTGGGAAATGTAGTACCCAGTGTTTCTGGACTTAAAGTCAGGATATCTCCACCCCTGCTGCTCTGACTTGGATTTTTAATCTGCCTCTCAAACAAGAAAAACTACCATAAGGAAGTAAACTAAGAAATTCTCCATGTCAGGTGCTGGTTGGTCGCAAAAACAAGCCACCGCACACTGAGACGACTTTGCTGTGAGACGACTTTACTGTGAGACGACTTTGCTGTGAGACGACTTTACTGTGAGACGACTTTACTGTGAGACGACTTTGCTGTGAGACGACTTTACTGTGAGACGACTTTGCTGTGAGACGACTTTGCTGTGAGACGACTTTGCTGTGAGACGACTTTACTGTGAGACGACTTTACTGTGAGACGACTTTGCTGTGAGACGACTTTACTGTGAGACGACTTTACTGTGAGACGACTTTACTGTGAGACGACTTTACTGTGAGACGACTTTGCTGTGAGACGACTTTACTGTGAGACGACTTTACTGTGAGACGACTTTACTGTGAGACGACTTTACTGTGAGACGACTTTGCTGTGAGACGACTTTGCTGTGACAGCCTCCATTTGTTCTATATCTATCATTTTTAACATCTTACACAAAATTCTATAAAAGACACAAACAGGACGAATATCAAAAGACATGTAGAAAAACACGAGAATCATTTCACATAAATCCATCAGGAGACTAATATGTAACAGGAACTATTAACAACGTTTTGATCTTCATCATGTTTATGTCTTTTTTTTATAAAAATGATGAAACACTAAATAAAACAGTAGAAAGTGAGTGAGGAGGAGGTGAAACGTGTTGTTCACAATAAATCACAGTAATGTTTTTTTATTTTACCTTATGGAAGCGAAACACTAAATCACAGAATCACTTTTAATGTTTAACTGAAGTGATCTTGACTCAGATCATTAAGGAAATGTCTCTTTTAATTTACAAGTGGATCCAAAAAAATAAATAAAATTGAATTTTGTGGAAAAATTTATTTTCTTCCACAATTTAATTTAAAAAGTGAAACTTTCTAGATTCTTTACACATAAAGTGAAAAATGTTTGGGTTATAATCTTACTGATTAGAATATCGAACAGAGAAGAGCTCTGATCAGCTGATTAACTCAAAACACCTGCAGAGGTTTCTGATCTCTGAGTCTGATTCCGCTCAGTTCAAATTAACTTTCCGCAATATTGAAATATTTCTAGATGCAAAATGAACTTTTCTGACCACCAGCCAAGTGGCCAGTGAATGAAAAGAAATCTACCAGCCACTTGCACAGTTTAGCATTTAGCAGGCGGCGGCTGCTAATTCTGTACTGACCCTGTTATTTGGCAGAGCAATCCTCAATTTTTATTTAAACTTTTTTATTTTTAAAAATATCAAGGCAGATTAGGCTTTATTTTGAAAGGACAGAGTGACAGGAAGACGTGGGGATGACGTGTGACAAAGGTTTCCAGCTGGACTTGGACCGGGATCTTGAATGTTTCTGGATCTGTGTCGTACAGGAGCCCAAACCCTTCAAGCTAAGAGTCTCTGGCGGACATCTTACCTTCGGAGGGGTCCAGGCGTCGGGCGCGGCGGCCGTGTTTGGAGTTGTTGTGGACGAACATGTTGTCTGACACCGCCAGCACGTGACCGTCCACGTTGACCGTGGTGGAAACCACCACCTGCAACACAAACATGTCGGGGTCATTTATAGCAGCACTGCGTCAGTCTAACTCATGAAGTAAAGCAACGCCGGTTCCAGGTGCAACGGGTGTAGCAGGCGCACCGGGTGTAGCATGTGTACAAGGTGTAGCAGGTGTAGCATGTTTAGCAGGTGCACCAGGTCTACCAGGTGTACAAGGTGTAGCAGGTGTAGCATGTTTAGCAGGTGTAGCATGTTTAGCAGGTGCACCGGGTCTACCAGGTGTACAAGGTGTAGCAGGTGTAGCATGTTTAGCAGGTGCACCGGGTCTACCAGGTGTACAAGGTGTAGCAGGTGTAGCATGTTTAGCAGGTGCACCAGGTCTACCAGGTGTAGCAGGTGTAGCATGTTTAGCAGGTGCACCGGGTCTACCAGGTGTACAAGGTGTAGCAGGTGTAGCATGTTTAGCAGGTGCACCGGGTCTACCAGGTGTACAAGGTGTAGCAGGTGTAGCATGTTTAGCAGGTGCACCAGAACTACCAGGTGTACAAGGTGTAGCAGGTGTAGCATGTTTAGCAGGTGCACCGGGTCTACCAGGTCTACCAGGTGTACAAGGTGTAGCAGGTCTACCAGGTGCACATGGTATAGGTGTATTAGGTATAGGTGTAGAATGTTTAGCAGGTGCAGCGGGTGTAGCAGGTGCAGCGGGTGTACAAGGTGCAGCGGGTGTAGCAGGTGCAGCGGGTGTACAAGGTGTAGCAGGTGTGTCTGTCACAGTTCAGCCTCTTACCTGGAACCTCCTCATGTCTCGTGGGTTTCCTGCATTTTTCAAACAGTTCTGATTGCACTTGAGGAAGAACTTGAGGAAGAATCTGCAGGCAGAAACAACAGACAGGGCAGATTGGTGCGGATTCAGGTTTCACCGGTCCTCAGAGTCCCGATCTGATCACAACCCCTCGAGCTCATTAAGAGCCGGCACAAACAAACGCTGATCCAGGATCAGAGCTGCAGCTACGGGGAGTCAGTTTGACTCACTTTACATCAGGGAAAGTTTTAAATTCCCCTAATTCCACAATCCAAAGAAAAGATTCAATAAAAACAATAAAAAGACAGAGTGTCATGTTTGTATAATCACACCGATCACATTCACAACGTTCATTTTTATTTTTCATTTCGAGTATGTGTAAAAAATCAGACAAGGAATAAATTAACCAGATCAAAATAATTAAATTATAAGATAATAAATGAATTAAGAGTCATGACTCTTCTTTAGGTGAAAACATCTTTGTTTAATCTCAAATCCATTTATCCAGATTTAAAAGTTTGTTTTCAGAGATGCGACGTGTAACGTGACCGTCATCAAGTCCGTCACTGTTCCAGTTGCAGAATGACAAATATGCAGAAAGTTAGGAACTGAGAATATTGACGTTTATAGATGTTAAAGGTGTCGACAAATACTAATGTTATCTAGTTACAGCTGCAACTGATTCTGTCTCAGTATGACAACATGTGGATTTATCGTCGCTGCTGGATAATTCACCTCATTACAGGCTGAAACGTTGAAGATTTGTAATCTAAAGCGGAGATTTGAAACGTTTCATTTGAACATAAATTCACACATTTATTTGCTCCAAGATGTTCTGAATTTTATCTTTACTGCTGGCGTCGCTCTTCTTGTCGTGGCGTTTCGGTTTCCGGGTCTCTCGCCTCTCAGCAGCAGATGAAATTATCATTCTGCGGCGGCGGCGTCTTGATAAAGACAGTCGACACTTCCCGCAGACTTATGGCGTCTCATTAGGAACCGCCTTTTGATTTTTCCCTCGCCCCCGCCGCGCGTTGATTTACGCCGTTTTTTTTTACGGCAGCAGAGGAGTATTGATTGGGAATGGATATCAATGAGGACGGGCGGTAATAACCCGCAGCTTCGGAGGAGGACAGTGGGGGGGTCAGAATGGATTGCCACCTTAATGCATTTCCCACTGCCTTGTAATCTGTGCACATCCATCTCTCGAACCATAAGCCCCACCCCCCCCGTTCTGATGGAGCGCTTCCTTTTTAATTGCCACATTATCACAATAATAATCCGGGCAGTTAACAAGCGGCAAGGTCGCAGACAGACATGTCACATTAACCAGGGGATAACCTCGGCAGAATACCCACACCCCATCTCTTCCACCGCCTCCTCCGCCTGACTCCGCTTCAGCAAGGCATGCTGGGAGTGCACGAGGAGGAGATATAAATGAGGTCGGCATCGATTTCCACCTTAATAAGAGGGTAACAATATCTTTAAAAACACAGAGCGGGAGCTCAGCCAGGTTCCACTCTCTCTGCATTTTTACACTTTGCTCCAAGAGAGCCCAATTATTATTAGGCCGTTAATAATGACGTCATTAAAGATGATTCATTTTGTTTCTGTGGTAAAAAAAAACTTAAACTTGACGGATTATTATGTGTTAAAGGTCTTTATTTAAAATGTAAAAGCTTTAAAATGGAGCGAATGACATAAAAGCAGAAAAAACTGGTGTAATGTGAAAGTTTTTACACCTTAAAATGCTTAAAAACATTGAGATCTCTATATTTATATCGGTTTATGTTTATGTGTAAAACAACTTGGTAATAATTCTTCTTCTGACTCATTTCTTCATCTTAATCATTTTACTATAATTAAGCCAAAACTTTGTACCTTAACTGAAACATTCAGATTATTTTTAACGGTACCTGTGATTTCGTTTGGTTAATTTGAACAGTCTGTCTGTAACGCATCTATTTATTTATTAACCTTAGTTGAAACATTTTGAGTCAGTAAATCACACACATTCATACACCAGGGGCAGGTCAGCGTTCAGCATCTCGCCCAAGGACACGCAGCCCGGAGGAGCCCGGGGATTGAACCGGCGACCTTCTGATTAACCCGCTCTACGCTTCAGGAGACGCACAGAACTGCCTGTCAGCAGTCTGCATCTGGATCAGTTCTTCAGCAGGAAGCCGGGACGCTGAATGTTTTAAACCTCCTGCGTGGACTCTGGTTTGTCTGATTTGTGTGAACTGACCCTTTAAAGACACACTGAGCGTGCAGGAGGAGGAGGAGGAGGAGGAGGAGGAGGAGGGTGCGTATCGACTGAAAGCTGATCTGCTGCTCTGGAGGCTCTAATGCCCTTTATGGCAGTGAACAGAATAATATGGAGCTCCATTCAGATGATACTGAGTCCTTCAGAGAGCTGATATGGATCAATACGGATTGAATTAAAACGCAGCTGGAGACAAGACCAGAGGCTCACACACACACACACACACACACACACACACACACAGTAACACACACACACACACACACACACACACACACACACACACACAGTAACACACACACACACAGTAACACGCACAGAAATACACACACTGAGACACACAGAAGCCTGTGTACACAAACATCCTGCTCAGAGACAGAAACACACACACACATATTTATAACACATGGACGTGGCCTCCGTGACGCCGCCCACAGGAGTGCGAAGCTCAGTGTGGCGGCCATCTTGGCGGCGCCTGGCTCGCCTGACTGCCAGCTAATGCAAGAATGGGCACAGATGATGATGATGATGATGATGATGATGATTGATACAGCTACACACAAATACACAGTGTTTTAATATTTTACAAGTGGTACCGCCGCGTTGCCGTCGTCCTTGACGTGAATGTGCGATTGTGCTGCAGGTCAGCGCCACCGGACCCGATGTTGTTAAAGTCAGCTGTTAAAAGCTAAAGGAAGAACGGAGAAGGAGGGAGAGAGGCGTTCTGTCCACAGCCGGAAGTGTCGCCATTATTGCGTCTCAGTCTGAGATGCAGAGAACTTTGTCGTCCGTTGTAAACTTTGTGCGAGCGGCAAAAAGCTTTCAGCCGCCAGCAATTCTGCGTCCGATTTACGCGTGAAGCAGCACAGCAACGGGAAACTCGTAGAGAAAGAAACTCGGCGCTGAGTGGGCGGAGCTACTGCCAGAGACGATGGGAGAGAGCGGCGTTAAGCAACGCTTGATGCAGAAACTCTGAATGCTGCCGTGATTAGTGTGCAGAAAAACAGGCCCAGCTTCCTCTTGCTGACTCCTCAGGTTCATTATTGTTCCAGTAAAGTGGATTCCTTTCTAAAATGTGACATTAATGTAGTAACTAATTACTTTAAATACGCAGTAATAAGTAAATAGCTTTACTTTTTAATGAGTATAAAGTAAAAAGTAGCTTATTACAGCCCCTCAGTACTGTTTAAATACACAACAACACATGTAGCAGTGTTTCCCCTTAATTAGTTGAACCGAAAACTATTGTCAAAATAAGGCGTCTATAGAGGATGGAAATAAGATTAATTGGATTATTTTCACAGAATGTATAAAACACATTATGTGTCCATCAAAAGAAAAAACAATAATAAAATGTTTTAGAAATGACTTTCTATTTTCTATTCTTTGATTTAAGGTTGCTGGAAAAACATGAAATAAATTTGTAGACTTATGTTGCTGTTTTATCAGCAAAGCTCTACAACAGGTTTATGATCAGATAGTTTGGTGGACGGTTCTTCATAATTCAGCCTCTTAATTTTGCACCTAATTAATAACTTTAACCTTTAAAATGTGACTTGCACCCGGACTCCTCCACAGGGTCCGAGGCCCGACCGCCATACGCTCTTAAAATCGTTTAGGAAACACTGTGTAGACGCACACAGCGACAACGACACACACGTTCACACACGCCCTCCGTGCACGCCAGAGTCAGTGACTGAGTATAACTGTGTAACGTAAAGAGCAGCGTTCACTTTGTTCACCTTTAACTCCGAGTGGAGGAGGAACATGAGGGAGGGCGGCGTTAAGTGTTCCAGTGGAGCCGATTTAAAGCTAATTTGGCTCACAGAGGGGGGGGGCGGAGGGAGGGGGGGGCGTCTGACTTCAGCGTTTTCACCGGCCACTCTGGATGATGTCACCCCTGACCACACCCCAGTGCACTATGGGAAGCAATTACGTCGGGCTCAGATTACAAGGCCCTGATGAACAACACACACACACACACACATATAGCCTATATGAACACACACACACTCTGAAGGCTGGGAGAGGATGCTCGCCACACACACACACACACACACACACACACACACGCACACACACACACACACGCACACATGCACACGTGCACACACACACACACATGCACACGTGCACACGCACTCCCTGGAGTCTCTCACTTATTACGTTAGGGGCAAGAAAGAAAAAGAAGCAGAAAAAAAAATCAATATTTCAGCAGGAGTATTTTTAAAAGCTGCCGTGTTGCTGATCCCGCCGCCCGCCGCTGCCGCCGCCGCTCGGCCTCACAGTTTGATGCTCTCTGTGAGAAGCCACCACACCTCCCGTCGCTGCGAGTTTACCACCTGACCGCCCGGCGAGTCCGGGCCAGCACGCCGCCACCAACAACACCGCCATCGACTCATCTCACTGGTGACAAAGTGAAATAAAGCAAAGAAAGCAAGCGTGGCGAGCCGAGGCCGCCGCTGAGCCCAACAGCGATCCGTCCTGGTTAACACGCTATAACCGCCTTTGGGCGTCACATCTCATTTGCTTGCAGCTAACGAACAAACCGTGGAGGAGAAACAAAAGCGAGGAAAGGGGAAGGAAAAAAAACAGAAAAACAAGCTCAGAGGCGGGTTAGTGCTGCAAAGAACACATCAGAAGAAGAAGAAGAAGTGGAAGGCGTTGGAGGAAGCGCCGCCTCATTAGGAGGTCGAGTAAAGCCTAATATTGACTCTGCTGTGTTGTTGAAACGCCCTCTTCAAATAATTACTGAGGAATTCAGATGCTGCTAATTAGGATCTGAAACAAGAGCAGCTTCACGC